ACTTTAATTTGGCTCCTTTGTGCATACGTATTATGAGACTGTCTAATTACATAATAATTATTTTTCCACAGGATCTCAGCCTCATTCAGTGCACAGGATGGACAGCACTCATTGAATGGGTTCCTATTCAGTAGATCTTTCTAACCTCAATCAATGTATGGCCCCCTGCATTATTTACTGCATGCCACCCAAACACTGTACTGCACACAGAATTATTAATTTCCTCATGAATTTTTCCATGTTACTCATATCTGAGTTCTTTACAAACAACTAACTTAACTTCACAACATCTGTTTGAGGCAAAGTGGTGTTACCCCCATTTTATATGTGGGAAACTGAGGCTCAGATTAATGCCAAAAGTGTCAACTAATCTTCGGTGCCCACTTTGAGACATCTAGGGCCTCACTTTTCTGAATACTTAGCATTTTATCAGAGCTGAGCTCCCACTGATCTCACTTGCAGTTGTGAGAGCTCAACACTTCTGCAAATCAAACCCCATGTGTCTCAAACAGGGTGCCCAGAAAAGGAGGAACATACCATGGTCACCTGTGAAAATTTTGGCTTAAGTGACTTCCCCAGCATCACATAGGAACTCTGTAGCAGAGGCTTGGCGAGAATCCAATTCTCCAGGGCAGCATTCAACTGCCTTAACCATGAGACCACCTTTCCTCTTCCTGTAGTTCCCAGATTCATTCACTACACACCTTCCAACCTCTGCAACAGATGAGATTGGGTCCTATAGAAAACAGCCTCCTTTGCTACACTAATCTGAATCACCCAGAGGCCAGTCCATTTTTTGCACTGAATGAGTCAGGGGTCCTGTGAAAAAAAATAGCATGTGATCATGTAATTAAGACTATCATAATGCACACTCACAAAGGGACCAAATTAAGGTTGCACAGGTAATCCTTATTCAGACATTTGAATGCTTGACTCTGGCAACCTTAATGTCCAAGTATTTTTTAATGTAATTTTCTAAGATTTTTTAAAAATTAAAACTGAGTCAACACCACTGCTATCCCCTTCCCAAGCTTCTGACCATCCACCATTCTGCTCGACTCCTGCTCCTCCCTCCACATTTGCTCCTGCCCATGTTTCCCCACCCACCGATCTCTGCCCTTCCCCCTAACAGCTCTGCCCCTTTCACCCTGCTCACACTCCCTCATCCACAGCTTGTCCTTTTCCCTCCTCTCTTCCTAGTCCCTCATCTTCTGCCTTCTCTCCCAGCTCCAGTTCCTAATTCCCATCACCTCCAGACTCCTACTTCCCCTCCCCTCAAGCTTCTGTCCCTGTCACCCTACACTTCATTTCTCACCCTTCCGCATTCAGGTAAATTTGCTTCCTCCATCTCACTACCTGAGCACCAGCAGACGGGGCAGTGAGAGCACAAGGAAGACAGTCTCTCTGCTCTCAGTTCCACAGCTTAGTGCCATAGCAGCAGGAGCAACAATTGCACGGAAAAGCCTGCTCACACCCTGCTCCTCTCAGTTAAAACATCTTAGTCGGTCCAGGGGAATGGTTTACACGCAGTCCAGTCAACACATAGGAGTCGAGAGCATGCCCAGTGCAGACAGGATAGTTAGAGAATTTAGCTGCTAAACTAATAAATCTCTAATGAGCATGTGTAAATTGCCATTTTTCCACAGGCTTCCACATTGCCCAAATTTGGATATATTTTCATGGGGATGGCAAAAGCCCCTGACCTAAAGGCAACCTGCTGCCAAATTTCAAGTCCCTACTCAAAAGCATAGAGCTATGCCACTAGAGCTTCTCAAAAAAGAAAAACAGTTGTACTTTTCTGTTTTATTTTGTTTTTTACACGTGGACAAAACATATTTCTGCTTACCCTTAATTTGAGAAACATATAAACCATTTTAGCTAACTTCCCCCACCACCACCACCCCCCGTGCAAAGAAGAAGAAAAAAAGCTCAGCCTGCGGCAGACACCTACCATGGAAAATTTCAGACCAGACAAAGTTAGCAACATTATCATCAACTAAAAACTAGGTCTTTATTAATGGAACATGTTAGGTAGCCTTAACAATAGACATTGCTAACTGCACCTGTGTGTATATTTTCTGGCTTCTTTAAAAAACAGTATTTTCTCTTTTAGAGGCACTATTCACTTATGTGAAGAAACATTCTGACCTCACTATAACAGCAATAATCTTTTACACGTAATAATAAAACTTTGCCCTTTCATTTGAGGACATCAGTATACTTCAAAAACACCAGTGAATTTAGTTTTTAAAGGTCCTCTGAAAGAAGTTATTGTTCCCATTCTATAGATGATAAAACTGAGGTAGGGATGTTAAGAGACTTGCCCAAGGCTACACTGAAATCCCATGGCAAACTTGAGAATAACTGAACCCAGATCTCAACCCCCAATCTTGTTCTTTAACCTTATTTGTCTCCCTATACATTACATCCTCTAAAGATTTCGCACTGTGAATTGTACAGTGAAATACATAAATTAAATTACCACAGCATCCAAAACTCAAGGTCAGCAGCTAATTAATATGATGGACATATTTACCATTACCATATTGTGATATAATAGCAGGTATTATGATACTAGTAATGTGAAATAAATATACATTACTTATTTGTCCTGAATCACTTGACTCAAAGTCTGCAACCTATATCTAGAATTTAGTCAGTATTTTGAAGTTCCACTTCTAAAAAGACTAATGGGAAGTAGGATACAGATTCTATGCAAATCATTAAAAATACATAATCAGAATGAGTGAAATCTAATGAGGTGACATTTAGAAATGCTTATCAACAAGTTTCCCATTTATTTATTCCATGTACCTAGATGAAAATAAAAGTGAACCTTTTAAATACTTGATAATGAGCTTCATTCTTTCCTGTTCCATAGAATTTTACCAGCTTTATTTATTTGACATTGTTCTATTTTTAATTGTTTTCAGAGTTTGAGTCCATGCTTACAAGCTACACATTAAAAGATGAAAATCTGAACAACTGAATCCGGTTTCAGAGATTAGCTTCACATGCTCAAACTTTTCATGACAACAGATAATGGAAAGAATCCATTCTCCAGAAATGGTCCCCTTAAAGTGCCAGTCAAAACAACACTATAGACATCATTCCTTTGGCACTTATAGAAGCTAATAATGATTCTGAAATGTGCATGTCCAACATGCTGGCTGAGTAGCACCCCAACACCAGGGTTTAGTTGCATTCACTCTTCTTTGTGCTCACCATGCATCTTGAAGTCACACCTACTTCCACCCTCCAATGATCAGACAAGAAAAATACTATTTATTAGAAAAATACTAATAAAAGATAATACTATGACTCAGAGCATTGCCAGAATGGCCATTGATGTCAAGGAGGAATGGGTCCCAAGAGCATTATTTTCTGCCTGGCTCCCTGAAATGGAATTTTTCAAAAGTTTCCATTCCACAGAAAAAGTTGCATTTCTGAACTTTCATTCCAATTCAGAATGTAAAAAATTTCAGAAATGCAACATTTTCCATGGAATGTAAATTCCAGTTTCTGCACAGCTTTACAGAATAGTTTTCATGCTTGGCGGAGTTAACCGCTTAACTAAAAGGCTCAATAAAGATTTTCAAATTTCAGCCTGACTTTAATCAGGCTTCTGCTTTTGCACCCACACTTTTGCCTTTGTTTGTAATTTATAGATGTGATTGAATTTTAAGTTTCTATATACCTGATTTTGAGGTGCAAAAGTGAGGGCCTGTGCTTAATCTGTGTGCCCTTTGTGTTCTTAATAGTGCAGTAAGTGGCCAACTGGTAAAGTTGTCCTAATGCACAGTACACAAAATGGTACTTAATGTGTTTACCTCTTGGCCCAGTAGTAGCCCCCATCCCATGACTTAATAAAGGTGAAAACAATGTGGGCTAGCCCTTTGGCTATTTAAGGAGCAGCAGCACTTCTAGATGTTTAACATTTATATTGCTATACCGCTTAAAGACCAACTACACTTCTCTTGGATCTGCCATGCAACAAAAATCATGCTGGTGCCCTGAGATGATCTGAAACCACACTGGGATTCTGGAAGGACATCTTCAGCAAGAGGGAGGAGACTGTTCAAAAGGATATGAGCAAGGATCTTCCTGGCAGTGGAGGGGCAGCAATACCTCAATAATTCCCACACATTGACTCGTCCCCTTTCTTAAAAATTGTCACAATATTGGCATTCTTTAGGTCAGGTGGAATTTCCTCATTAACCCAAATTCTAACAAGAAATTGCTGACATTTTTGCATGAGTACTATCCCACCAGTTTTGAAGACCTCCTTGGGGATGCCATCTGGGCCTGGCGCCTTGTTGTTTCTAGTCTCAATGATGGCTCACCAGGTTCTATTACTGAATGCCGAGGAATGGACTCAATGGCGGCAGCTGAGACTTCAGATTCACAATTCAACCAGCCATTGCTTATGGCATTTGCTGACCTAACAAGGCCTTTGATTCCATCAATCGTGAAGCATTATGGAAGGTGCTGTCTAGGTTCAGTTGTCCATTGAAGTTCATTCATGGTTACTTCATGATGGGATGACCGCCACCATCCTCAGTGATGGATTGAAGATGGAACCATTCACCATCCATACTGGTGTGAAGCCAAGCTGTGTTATTCCTCCAACCCTTTTTTCCATCTATCTTGCCATAATCTTGATTCTTATTCATGACTGCCCTTCTTCTGGAATTGGGATTGAGCATTGTATGGATGACCAGCTCTTCAATCTGCAACATCTTCATTCTAAAACTAAAGTCACCAAGGCTGTTCTTACTGACCTTTAGTATGCTGAGGACTGTGCTATCCTTGAACACACTGAGGCTGATTTGTAATCCACCCTAGATCTCTTCTCAGGTGCCTATGATAGCCTGGGACTTTCCCTCAACGTAGAGAAAACTAAGGTGCTCCACCAGCCTGCCCCAGCAGACGTTATCCCTATTCTCCCACAAATTGTCATCAGCGGTGAACCCCTGTAAAACGTTGAACATTTCCCTTACCTTGGTATCCACCTCTCCCAGACAGCCAATCTTGATATGGAGATTGAACATAGGATCCGTTGCGCCAGTGTATCCTTCAGAAAGTTGCTCCATTGTATCTTTATTGATAGAGATCTGCGGAAGGAAACTAATATCCTGGTCAACTATGCAGTAGTCATCCCCACTCTTCTTTATGGGTGCAAGACATGTGTGACCTACTGAAACCAAATTAAGCATCTGGAGTGGTACCAGCAGCACTGCCATAGGAATATTGTATCAGATGGGAAGACTGTCACACCAATGCCAGTGTTCTCTCTGCAGCTAACATCACCAGTGTTGAGGCAAAGATTATGAAACATCAACTTTGCTGGGCTGGTCATTGGGTGCGGATGACTGATACTCATCTTCCATAGCAAGTCCTCTTTTCTCAACTTAGTCATGGTAAGAGACCCCATGGGGAACAGAGGGAACACTACAAGGACAACCTGAAAGTCTGTCTTAAGAAGGGAGGCAATTCCCCCAGGAATTGGGAAGAGTTGGCTGGCAATAGACTGCAATGGTGTAGCATCAAGCCTCAGTCCGTTTTGAAGATAATCGCCTTGCTCAAGAGGCTGAGAAATGGCAGAGGAAGAAGGAAAGGGTACAGCATCCTGGCCAGCAGTTGTGCTTTCTCCAAGCAACCACCTGTCACATATGTGGAAAAACCTGTAAAGCACAAATTGGACTCCTCAGCCATCTTAAGTCTCATTAATGACTTTCCCCCTAGCAGACATCATACTTGTATAGCTGACGAAAGACCAACTAGCAGGGTCCCATTATATTAGGCATTGTATAAATATATAGTAAATGACAGCCCCTGCTCAAAGTGCTTACAATCTCAAAATCTTGGAGCCAGATTTTCAAATGAACATATTTATGCCCACGCAGCATCTGATGTATGCACATATATAACAGGGTACACACACACCATTTACACGGGCACAAAACTGTGCTTTTAAAAACCTGATTGTTAAACAGTAGAACTCATAGCCTCAAGGGGGAACCCAAATTGAGCACGCCTCAACTGGAAGAAGGGTGGACTGATGAGGGGCCTTACCAAGTGAAAGATAAACCATCATTTACATTATTAACATATTTGGTCCCCTAAACTCCTGTTGAATTCAGTGGGCATTGAGGGTGCTCTGCACCTCACTTTTGGATTCTTGGCCCAATCTTTTAATGTTAATGGTCTGAACCCTTGAGTCTAACCCTCTTCAGCTTCACTGAGAGTTCACAGCTGGCAACAGTGACCAAATGTCACTGTTCACAAATTTCTGCAACACATATGTGGGTGAGCTCCATGCAGTGGGTCGCTTGTGGAGATACCACTGTAGGATTGAGGCCTTAGTGAGCAAGGCATAGTCATGTGCTGCCTGTTATCCTTGCAAAACTATAATTAATCAGTGGGAGATTTCTGCAACCTCTAAATACCAACAACTCAGTTCTCTAGTTTATGCCAAAAATATTTACCCGTCTGTTTAAAAAAAAAATGTAAAAAATTGTCATTTTTCTTTTCCTATTTTTTCCAAAGTGCCAAATTCTTCCTTAACTGCAGTGTTGAACCCAAAGTGTTCAAAAACCATGAGTCATATTCCAAAATTCATTAGATTGTATTTTAAAAAAAAATATTTTAAGCCATTTTGGATTCTTTTTATTTGCTGATTTTTGAGCTATTAGGGTTCATGTTTTCTAATTTTTTCTCCATAAGTGCTAGGGCTAGAAAGTTACTTATTTAAATAAAATAATGAAATCAAGATTGTTATGTGATCAACTGACTCCAAGAACTGAAACTTTAAGAAAAGCACAAAATATATCAACTCTATATAAAATTGTGAAATATGGCAATTGTAAATTATGACAATTGTAATCCTTGAAGTGATGCTGTAGGGTCCAACAGTCTTTCACTGTAAGGCAGCCAGTTTTGGGGCGGCGGGGGGTTAAACGAGTAAAAGCGCTAGAGGTCAGTAATTCCACCTCTCTGTGACTGTAAATCTAGAACTTTGCTTCCAGGTCAACTCAGCTCGGTGAACTAGGAAGTGTTTAACTGCAGGGATTTGAGCTGCCTGTAATGCCTGCATAATGCCTTTTGTTCTCCCAGAAGATTATATCACCAATTTTTCAGTAATTTTATCTAAAAAAAATTCCCTCCTACTATATTAAGATATATGATTGCCTTTTGTAGAAGTATTACAAATTTTAGTTTAAATAGTATACATCTGATTAGCTGTACTTGGAAAAACTGAAGCATTTAGCAGAATTATTTTTCCAGAATACATTATTATGCAATACTACTGAGCATGATGTGTTTTTTCTTGCACACTCTGCTACTCTGATCCTGTAAGGAGCTGAGTGCTCCTGTGCCAGATGGAAAATGCCAAATGAGATTTGCATGTGTTCAGCACCTTGTAGGATCAGGTTCCATATAATGCTCTCCACGGAAATATAGCGTGTCCTACAGAGGATATAAGTATCAATTATGTTATAATCGGTCCTGATTCATTCGTATTTGATTTATCTGCACATTAGGTTAGTGTACCTGAATATGTACAATATATGGCAATCAGTCTTACAAAAATCCACTCTCTGCACCATCGATTTAGCAAACTGAAGTAACCAGAAAAAAAATGTTTTGCAACCTCCTCAAGCCCCAGAGCAGGTGAATGGGGAGAGCGGGGGAACAGGTGGAGCTCGGACTCCATTCTTGTTCCACAGACACACAATGCGCTGGCCGACACAGGTGAACTGGCACAATGGATATGGCAGCAAATTACTACTCCCAGAGCAAGGAGATTTGGATCTCTGAGAGGTGTATCTAAGCCAGAACGCTTCCTGGAGGTACTCCTGGGGCAGGGGGAGTGCAGATTATGCATTACCCGTTGGTTGGGGCTATGCTAGAGGCAAAATCTTTCTTCACACAACACACTAAGCAATGAAACCTCTAAATTACACTGATGTTACAGATATCCTAAAGATATCCTGCCTTGGTTGGAGTATCAAATATAGTTCCTTTGTCCAATACATGACATAGTTGTAATGAAAGAGGCAACTTGGACATTCCTTAAATCCCTGTGTCAATATAAGGATCTGAGGGTGCAGGTCCAGAACCCAGTGCTCTGGAGGATGCTGGTCTCCGACACTCCCACGCCGCCAGGAAGGGAGACAAATGAAACAGCACCTCACTACTCCTGGAAGGTCAGGCCCCACAGGAAGTGCTCTCAGTTGGGGTTGCTGGTTTGTCTCACACCCACCATTTGAGCCAGTATGTGACCCAGTTGGCTGGTTTGAGCAACTGTGCAGACTCCCTGTTTCTGCTGCTTCAGATCCCATTCTTCGCTTGTCTGCTGTGATCACATCCAACCCTATTTCTGGTTCCTGCTCCACTCCCATCCAGTTCCTGCCTTGCTGCTGGCTCAGAGCCTGAGCCTTGCCTTAACTCTGGTTCATACTCTACACCTTGATCCTAAACGTCAGCTCCAATTTTGGCTCTGACTCTTGGCTCCAGCTCTCACCTGAAGTTCAACTCCTGACCCGGCTTCTGGCCTTCAGTGCTGCCCTGATCACTAGACCTGATAGACACTGCTCCAACCCTTAGACCAGACCAACCGCATTCCAGTTCCTATTTCTTGTCCAGCCAATCCAGACAAAAAAAATTTGTTTACATTTGCAGAAGATAATGCTGCCTGCTTGTTGTTTATAATGTCACCTGAAAGTGAGAATAGGCATTCGCATGGCACTGTTGTAACCGGTGTTTACATAAAGATATTTATGTGCCAAATGTGGAAAAGATTCATATGTCCCTTGATGCTTCAACCACCATTCCATGTTGATGATAGGCTCTGCTCGATAACAATCCAAAGCAGTGCGGACCTACACATGTTCATTTTCATCATCTGAGTCAGATGCCCCCAGCAGAAGGTTGATTTTCTTTTTTGGTGGTTTGGGCTCTGTAGTTTCTGCATCAAAGTGCTGCTCTTTTAAGACTTCTTAAAAGAATGATCCATACCTCATCCCTCCCAGATTTTGGAAGGCACTTCAGATTCTTAAATCTTGGGATGAGTGCTGTAGCTATCTTTAGAAATTTCACATTGGTATCTTCTTTGCATTTGAGTCAAATTTGCAGTGAAAGTGTTCTTAAAACAAACAACATGTGCTTGGTCATCGTCTGAGACTGCTATAACATGAAATATATGGCAGAATGTGGGTACACACATTTATAATAAAAAATAATATAAAGTGAGCACTGTACACTTTGTATTCTGTGTTGTAATTGAAATAGATACCTAGAAAAACATCCAAAATATTTAATAAATTTCCAGTTGGTATTGTATTGTTTAACAGTGGAATTAATCGCGATTAATTTTTTTGAGTTAATCATGTGAGTTAACTGTGATTAATCAACAGTCCTACTTTTAACTAAATAAACAAAACAGGAGTTTAAATGGTACCTTCCTAACATAGTTGTCAAACATTAGCTCAGTTCAGTTCTCAAACTGGCTAAACAGACAGAACTTAAATATGTAAGGAGAGACAAACTCTGGTTCCCTCATTCAAAAAGGAGAGACATGGCCCCAACTGCTAAAATCCCCCACAACTCTTTCATTGTGTGAATGCTAAGAATGAAAAGTTGTGGAGGAATTTAATATCTTGGGCTAAAATGGATTCTAGACTACCAATCTGCCCAGGCCAAATGCTTTGCAATCTCTGCACAAGTTTACGAATTCCAAAATTGGCTTTATTAACGTGACAGTCCCTACTGGACATATGCAAAAGCAGCAACAATTAAAGCATAACAAGCCAGTCTGATTGAAGAGCAAAAACCAACCAAATCACAATGTGAAATTCACTTTGGGATGGTGTTGGGAATCCTGCCTGATCTCAAACAGCAAATAACTGAGCACAAAGCACACTAAAAAAATTGACAAAACAAACATAATCGACATGCAACTACCAACCCAATCACAGTGAGCACAATAGATCAAGAGGCACCAAACAATGACTGGATATACCCAGGAGAAGGATTTAAAAAAGGCCTCTGGGTAGTCACAAAATAATGAACTCCCTTGCTATTGCAAATGGCCAACCACAACTCAACATGGGTGTGATGGTCAAGTGTTCGTCCCATCCTCTAACCCAACTCCATGTGAAGCACCTAACACCAAAAAAAGAGGATGAAGGTCTCCTCACCCCCTTCAAAGCTTCAAGAAGGTGTCCTGCCAGCTCAGGTCAAAAGCACCATCTTAGTGAGTGGAGTAGGCTTTTACTTGCTACTATTCTAACGACTCCAACCGGTTTGCATTACTGTTCTATGAGCATCTGCAATAAAAATTGAAGTCTAAACCTTTTAGGCCATGTTTTCAAATGTGGTCACTTACTCTGTTACAACAGATTTTGAATGCCCAGGTACAGTGGGCTCCCTCAAATGTTTCTTCCATTTTAAAAATTTCTAATGGTTTAAGAAATATTCCCTATTCCTCAAATGAGAAGTAACATTGGAACCCGTACTGTCTTTCAAAACAGAATTTTTTAAGTGCGACCACTGTATTGTAGACATAAATACAACTTTTAAGAAAATAAAAGAAGAAAATAGAAACTGAGGCCCACACTGCTTATTTTGTAAGCACAAGCATGTTTGTGTGCAAAATGAGTATGTACACAAATTTAGTAGG